GAGGGATCTGTGGGAATACAGAGAGGAATCTGCAGGAATGCAGCGAGAGATCCATGGGAATACAGAGAGGGATTGATGGGAACACAGAGAGGGATCCGTGTGAATGCAGAGCAGGATCCATGGGAACACAGAGAGGGATCCGTGGGAATAGAGATACACGGGAATGGAGTATGGCATCTGCAGGAATAGAGAGAGGGTTCCATGGGAATGGAGCGAGGGATCCACGGGAATACAGAGAGGGATCTGCGGGAACGCAGAGAGGGATGGGCCGGGAATAGAGAGGGGTGGGAATACAGAGAAGGATTTGCAGGAATACAGTGAAGGATCCATAGGAACACAGTAAGGGATCCACAGAATACAGAGAGGGATCCGTGGGAACACAGAGAAGGATCCATGGGAAAACAGAGAGGGATGGGCCAGGAATACAGTGAGGGATGGGCCAGGAATAGAGAGGGATCRGCTGGGAATACAGAGARGGATTTGCAGGAAYACAGTGAGGGATCCGTGGGAATGCATTGAGGGATATGAGGAAATACAGAGAAGGATCAGCTGGGAACACAGAGAAAGATCCACGGGAATGCAGCGAGGGATCTGAGGAAATACAGAGAGGCATCCATGGGAATGCAGCGAGGGATCAGTGGGAATGCATCCCATGGGAATGCAGAGGGATCCACAGGAATACAGTGAGGGCTCCTTCCCAGCGATTCTGCACCCAAAGGATCCCCCTGGGAGGGAACAAACCCCAGCGATGTCCCCGAGATGGAGACACAACAAGGCCGGGCTGCACGGGCAGCTGTGTCCGGGGGAGTGGGAGGAGGAAGGGAGGCTCCCTCACTGTCCCTTCCAGAGGGAAAAGGGACAATCCCCTCTGTGGAAGCACCAGGAAACACTTCCAGCCTCCTCACCCCGGCCCTCGGGGGACGCACAGCCCCGAGTCCCCGCTCTGCCGGCGCTGCAGAACCTCCGTCTGCAGCATCTTCCCGGCATTCGATGCATTTCACGTCCGACTGCAGGAGCCGGAGGATCCCCCGGCTGCTGACCTGCACGGAAACACCCGGCTGCTGCGGGGAGGGAYGGCAGCGRGGATGAGGACGAGGAGGAGGAGGAGGAAGGGCTGTTCCCATGCCCGGCTGCCCGTGTGGGATGCTCCAGCAGGTGCCCAGCGAGGCGAGACGGGCACGGAGCACGTCCAGAGATGGGGAGAGCAGGAAAACAGCGCCGGGAATGGGAGAGGCGGATGGGAACAGGGATGGAAGGATGAGAGGCAGCTGGGCAGGAGCTGCCACGGCAGAATTCGGCTGTGGACATGGAGCTGGACAGGTTTAGGCCTGGCCGGAGGCTGCACCAGCCCTGGACAATCAGCCAGACACCAGCACAGCCCCCTCTGGATGAGCCTCCCAAAAACGAGGAGCAGCATCTCAGCGCCCCGCCCACGGCTCCAGCCTTTCCCACCACCCCGGGAGCCCCAGCACACACCAGTGAACCCAAACTGCCCCTGGGATGAGAAATCCACAGATTTGACACCTCGTGGAACACCCAGGCCGGCTCCCAGGGGCACTGGGCACGTCAGATAGCAGGATGAGGTTATCCAGATGGATTTCCCCCATGGGGATGCACGCAGGGCTTGGCTGTTTGCTGCTTTCTCCTTCTCCTCCTTCTCCCTCAGGAAATCTGCTGGCTCAGGAAACACCCTGGGGCCAAGCCCTGCGGGGAGGAGACGCTGCCCAGCCGCGGATTTGCTCCTTCCCTTCGTTTATTCKCCGGTCCAGCTGGGGTCAGATCAACGAGCAATCCCTCGCTTGGGAAATGACACCACTCCAAGGGCCTCCTCCCTCCGAGAAACCTCAAAAGACAGCGTTTGAGGCGAGCTTCATTCCGACAACTAAAAATAGCCAGCACCCGTCACGCTGGAAAACGCAGGATGTGGAGCTTCGCCCTCTCCCAGCTCCCGCCTGGACATGGGGTTTTGTGACCCCCAGCCCCACAGACGTGGGTCACCCCCTAGGGATGACCACTGCAGTAATCCCATAAGGAAACCATCAGGACCATCCCTGCTCTGAGGGAAAGTGCGGGGACCCAAAACTTTCCCAGGCAGGATGCRGTGACTCAGAGCCACGTCCGCAGCGGGACACCCCGGAAAGATCCCAGCCACGCTTCCCAGCTTCTCCCAGCCCGGCCGAGTTTGTGATGCCGGCCCCATGCAGCTGATTCAGCCCTGGGTGAAAGCAGCCRGATAAATCCCGGTTGTCATCCCAGCTTTCTGCTGCTCCAGAGGTCGTCACCCGCCCCGCCACGGCGGCCAGGCGCGATTCCAGCCCCGCTCYGGCCCATCCCGCCGGCCTCTCCAGCGCCAGCCTGGCATTCCCAGCTGCCACAAATCCAGCCTGCCCTCATTTCCCTGCAATCCCCCTCCTCGCGCTAATCCCCGCTCCAGAGGCAGGAATAATGTTTAACTCAGGTTCACGCCRGAGCACCGGTTTGTCCCAGCTCGGGTCAGCCCCAGGCGCGTCCCCGTGGCCGAGGCGGTGCCGGGAGCTCCGGGAATCTCTCGGCACCAGCTGCAGCGATCCGTCACGCCGGGGAATCGGGATGCGGCCGGGCTGAGCCGCGCAGGTGCCGCGGGAATCCCAACAGCCGGCGGATCCCGCTCGGAGCCAGCCCGTTTCCCTGGGGCTCACCCCAAAATGAGGGGGCTTCGACGGGATGAGGATGAGAGGGGAYGGTGCTGGAGGACTGAGCCATCCCCTCGCTCATCCCGGTGTCCCCGCGGTGTCCCCAGCTTCCCCACCGGTCCCTGGGGTGTGCCACCAGCAGCGCTCCTCCAGTTACTTTTTTTTTATTTTAAAATTATTTTTAGATTATTTTTAGGTATTTTTAGTTAATTTTTAGGTATTTTTTTGTTAATTTTTAGGTATTTTTAGGGGTTTTTTTTAAGAAGCCAGGAAAGAAGGTGGGAAGGGAGGCGAGGAGCCGGAATTCCGCGAGGGCCGCGCCACCGAGCCTCTGGAAAAGCCGCAGAGAGGCGAAGCATCAGCACTCCCCAGCAGGAACAAAAGGCGAGAAGCGAAAAACCGAGGGCATTCCGGGGGACCACGGGCACCTCCCGCCTCAGCGAGGGGTGGCCAAGGCACAGTAAAGCTCCAGCTGCCGCCGCAGGGTCCTGAATTAGCATCTCGGGAAACGGCGCCGAAAATCAGACACCTTCTGCCCGAAATCCGAGCCCGGAGCTGAAAATCTGATCAGTGGCCGCGATGCCCAAAGAGCAAAGGTCATTTCCAACCCCGCACAGGCCCTGCCACTGCCCCCGGCGCTTGGACTAACCCCCTGCCCACCGCCAGCCCCCCCAAACCGAGCAGAGGCAGCACGGCGAGGGCCAGCGGCTTATTTTTAGCCCGGGGAAAGCAGGAGCCGGGAGCAGCCATCCCGRCTCTTGTCCTTGGCATGGGACACGCCGCTTTTCCCCCCGTGGCCAGCGCCCCCCGAGCCCCCCGCGCTCCGTGTCCCCCTCCCCCGGGCTGGCATCACCTCCCCGGGCACGGCTCAGGGAGCAGCAGGAGGATGCTGGGCTGAGCCCCGGAGCGGCCCCGCGGCTGGAGGAGCGGGATTATTTACAGCTCCCGAACGGAGCGAGGCAGGGCTGACCTTTCCGAGCCGCAGACAAAGAGGAGATGTCGGGAATCGCTGCTGCGGGACCCTCGGCTGCCCGGCGGGACGGAGCGGGGCACGGCAAAGAGGGGAGCCGGCCAAGGCCACGGAGAGCCGAGAGCGCTGGGATCCCAGCCTGGGAAAAGGAGGGATCGGATTCCTCCCTCCCCGTCCCCGCCGGACAAACTCTTCCGGGTGGGGACTCCTACGCGCCGAGCTCTGCCCAGGCACGGCGGCGAGCTGCTCCTTCCCACAGCCCACGGCTGCCTCGGCGGCAGGGAAACACCGGGATCGGGCTCGGAATGGGAAAAYCGGGAATGATCCTGGCCCCCGGCGCCCCGCTGGGCTCAGCCCGGCTGCCGACTCATCCCTGCCGTGGAAGCGTCGAAGGAAAAGTTTCCCCGTCAGCACAAAAACGCGGACACTTGGCCCGAGCTTCCCCTTGGCCGCTGCCGTCCTGGCCGGGAGTTCCCCGCGCTGGGGACTCGCCAGGAGCCGGCCCCGGGTGGCCGCAGAGGGCGGGGGTGGCAGGGGACAGGTCCGGTCACTGCGTTGGGGACACCGGTGTGACCCCTGGGGCTGCCACGGCCACTTGGGGAAGGGACAAATTCCCGGGGTCAGGAGCTCTCCCGGTGGCACCGGGTGATGGGATGGATGGTCCTTCCCATGTCTCTGCCCTTGCTAGGGAGCTGCAGGATTTGGTGTCACCACTGTGTGTCCCCTGCACCCTCCTGGTCGCCATTTAGGGCCCCGTTTAGGTCTCGATGCCATGATCCCAAAGCCCAGAAATCCCAGGGAACTGTCCGGATCCCTCAGCATCCCACCAGGGTCCCCCTGTCCCTCACTAGCCACATGGCCAGCTGCGGCCTGGCCACCCTGGAGGGAACGGGGCCAGCCCCGAAAGGGAATCCCACGGCCCTATTCCTGATTCCAGCCCCAATTCCTGATCCTAGACCCGATTCCTTGTTCCAGCCCCAAAAGGGAATCCCATGGCCCTAATTCCTGGTTCCAGCCTAAATTCCCGATTCAAGCCCCAAAAGGGAATCCCACAGCCCCGATTTCTGATTCCAGCCCCAAAAGGGAATCTCATGGCCCTAATTCCTGATTCCAGCCCCGATTCCCAATTCCAGCGGCCTCTGAGACCCCTCCCCGAAGCTCACAAAYGCAGGACGACTCCGAACTCAGCTGTTACTCACAGAGAGCTCTCCCAGGATTTAAGGTGCTTAATTAGCRTTTGGAAAAGAGTCACCAGCCGGGTGGGTGACACCCCAGCGGGTGTCACCCGAGCCTTCCCTCCTTCCCCTACCCAGGCTCAYCCGGTGTCTTTTTTTCCCTTTTCCTAATGATCCGGCAGAGGGGCAGGGTTTATAAGTCCGTGGAAACTCTATTATCCCCGTGCATTAAAGCCTAAAGCAGCTAATTAAAACATCAAAGTCGCAGAGCTCGTTAGCTSGGCCTCGGCGCTGGTGGAAGGTGACAGGGAACGTGGCTGTCACCCGGCTGCTGTCACCCGGCTGCTGCCAGGGACCACAAAGCTGGGTGTGCACCCCAAAACATGTTCCTGTCGCAGTGTCACTCTCAGCATCGGTCACTGCCCACGGCCATGGTCACTCTGAGCATTGGTCACCTCCCATGGCCATGGTCACACTGAGCAGTGGTCACTTCCCATCTGAGGCTTTGCATCCCATTGACATGGTCATCTCCCACAGCCATGGTCACTCCGAGCAGTGGTCACTTCCCATCTGAGGCTTTGCATCCCATTGTCATTGTCATCTCCCATGGCCATGGTCACTCCAAGCAGTGGTCACTTCCCATGGCCATGGTCACACCGAGCATTGGTCACTTCCCATGGCCATGGTCACACCGAGAATCGGTCATCTCCCATGGCCATGGTGGCCATGGAGCACTTGGTCACCTCCCAAAAAGGATCTGCATCCCATGGCCATGGTCACACTGAGCGTTGGTCACTTCCCACGGCCATGGTCACACCAAGCAGTGGTCACTTCCCAAAGGACCTGTGTCCCATTGCCATGGTCACGCTGAGCATTGGTCATTTCCTGCCTAAGGGCCGGCATCCCATTGTCGTGATCACTCTCATCACTGGTCACTTCATTCAAGGATCCCATTGTCGTGGTCACACCGAGCATCGGTCACTCCCCATTGCCATGGTCACACCAAGCACTGGTCACTCCCCATTGCCGTGGTCACACTGGCCATCGGTCACTCCCCATTGCCGTGGTCACTCTCATCACACTTCATTCAAGGATCTGCATCCCATTGTCGTGGTCACACTGGCCATCGGTCACTCCCCATTGCCGTGGTCACACTGGCCATCGGTCACTCCCCATCTCCACGGCCACCCCGAGCATCCTCCCGACTCTCCGTGTCCCTGTCCCTGCTCTGCCCATCCGGTCCCGGAGCCGAGCGGGATCCTCGGGGTTTCACCCCAGGTTTTCCGCCGGTTCCTTTCCCAGCACGGCGCAGCCGTGCCCGGCGGGGAGGAGCCGTGGGCGAGGAGGAAGCGGGAGCTGCCAGCCCTTCCCCGGGCCCTGCGCGGGGACCAGCAGATCCGGGCAGCGGCAAGCGGGCGGCGGCAGCGAGTCCTCCCCCCGCCACCAGCACCGCAGAGATTTGTGTCCCCAAATCCCCGCAGGCTCCGTCCCCGCGCGGGTGGACACTGCGGGAAAACTCCGCTCGTGGCCTAGCAGGGAGGAGAAACAGGAAAAGGAAAAAAACACCACAACCCGAGAGAGGAGCGGGGATCGCGCGGAGAATCCGCGGCCCCGGCGAGGGGCGGGCGGAGAAGGAAAGCGGGGAAGGAGCGGGGGGCAGGCGGGGATTGAGAGCGGGGAAGGAGCGGGGAGCAGGCGGGGAAGGAGCCGGGGAAGGAGAGCGGGGAAGGAGCCGGGGACAGTGGGGGAAAGGGTCGGGGGCAGGCGGGGAAGGAGCCGGGGGCAGGCGGGGAAGGAGCGGGCTCGTCTCGCAGGGCTTGGGGACAAGGGGAAACTCCAGGCTCGGCTCCACCCCGGCGCTTTCGAGCGCCGAACAATAGTGGAGAGGAGCAGCCGTCCCTCCCTGCTCTTACTCATCCTGCCCAAGGATCKGTGCCACCCTTGTGCTGCCCCCGCCCTGCCCGGCCCTGTGCCCTGTGCCCCGGTGGGCTCCGGYTCGGCGGCTCCCGGCTCGGGTGACGGTGACAGATCCCCCGGGAAAGCGCTGCGGACCCACGGCACGCGAGCGGCGAGCCGGCAGCGCAGGGAATTCCCTCCGTCATCATCTCGAGCGGAAAAAAAAAAAAAAAAAAAAAAAAAAAAAAATAGAAAAGAAACCAACACCCAACAAACACCCTGCGCCTTCTCAAACCTCGCTTCCTGCAGCGCTCGCAGCTCTTCCACAGCGCCGGGCAGAGCTTTTTCAGCTCGGGGAGGACGCAGGGAAGGAGCCGGGGCTCGGACGGGGAGCGGCACCCGCGGCTCCGCCGGCGGCGAGGGTGGGACGGGGCCGGAGCCCGCGCCCCGCGGGGAATGCGCGGTGCCGGGGGAGGAATGGGGAAGCTCTGCCTCCCGCCCTGAGCGCTCCCCGGCTCCACCTGCCCCATCCCGGAGCTGGCACCTTCCCCGCGGATCCGAGCCACGGGGAATCACCGGGGGGAATTTGCGAGGCCTCCGAGCCCACCCAGCGCCCACCGTTCAGGGAGGGTCCTTCACTCCCCGCATGCCGGGGGCACCTGCAGCCCCCCAGAGCCGCCCCCAGCCCACGGGTGGGATTCCCGAGGGGAGGGTCACCCCAAGGGGCAGCCRGGGAGGGAAGCCCGGGGCCGGGGAGGGATCCCCGGGGCGCGGCGGGGTGGGGCTGGCGGAGCGCGGGGGCGTCAGCCTCGCTTGGCTCATGATTTAATAATTCAGGTGCGTTTCAGTGCTCAGGCAAGCGAAAGATTGAGGGCAGCGTCTGGAGCCAGGCGGCGGTGCAGCCCCCGCCTCGTCCCCGCAGCATTTGGGGTGGGGGCTCCGCTCGGGGTCCCCCCGGCCCCACGRCGGCTCCGGGCGCCCCACGGCGAGCTCCGAGCACTCACCTCCAGCCCAGCTCGCTGCCCATGACTCCCGCCCGTCCACCCACGTCCAGGGCCGGCCAGCCACGGCCACGGCCACAAACTGGCTGCACTGGTTTGAGCTTCGCAATGCAAACCCCCACCCAAGCTCAGGTCTCCAGAGATAAGAGCACAATAACCTATTGTCCCTCCTCCCCTCCCAACATCTCCACTCGCCTCTGGCGAGCCGGGGAGGGACCCCCGGCTCCGCGCAGCCCCCCACCCCCGCCACCGGGCACCCCACGGGGGGCACGGACCCACCRAGCCGGGCCGGGGATGCTGCGAGGCTCCGGAGCCTGGGCTGGGATACGGGGAGAGCGCGGGAGGAGACGGACGAGGCCACAGCCTGGCCGGGCTTCCAATGGATTTCCTGATTTATTTTTTTAATTTTTTTTTTTTTCCGCCTCCCCGCTCCTGTTTTCTGCCGGGGATCTGCCCGGCTGGATTGGTGCAGGCGGGAGGGGGACGTGCCCAGCCGTGGCGTGGGCAGCCCCCACGCA